CAACAAATCCTACATTCTTTATAATTCATTTAAAAAGTACAATTTATGTTACTTATATACATACCGCCTTAAAAAACTTGAAGGATGAATGGTATTGTGAATTAGAACTACTTTTATGATTTTCTAACTACGGTAATATTATTGACCAGTGTTCTCTATTCCTTTAATCTGCCTTATTTTCTCTTGGCACTTAGCTCTGACATTATATTCTTTTTTTACTTGTTTACAGATGTACTGAATGTCTTCCCCATTAGAATGCATGATCACCAGGCAGGTTTTTGTTGGTCTGAGTCAGTTTTATTCAACAGAAATAGGGTGTAAGCTGTATATGTATTTTAAATTTTCTAGTAGCTGCATTCGAAAAATAGAAACAAGGGAAATTATTTTATTAACCTCTTATATCTCAAATATTTCATTTCTCAATATAAAAATATTGAGATATTTTACATGTTTTTCTTGCTGACTCTTTGAAATCCTGTGTGCCTTTTATGTTTACAGCACATCTTAGTTTACACTAGGTTCCTTACAGGTTCTTAATAGCCACACATAGGGGTGCCTGCGTTGGCTCACTCGGTGAAGCATCTGATTCTTGATTTCAGCTCAGGACCTCACGGGTCCTGCCCCCTTACCTGCCCCCTTACCCCCGGTCACGTTTTCTGTCTCTCTTTCTCTCTCTCTCTGTCTCTCAAAATAAATAAACTTAAAAAAAAAAAAAAAAGCCACTCGTGGCTAGTGGCTGCTCTGTTGGACTGCTCAGGTCTGGTTCATCTCCATGCCTACAGCGGTACCTAGAATACCCAAGGCATTCAGGAAAGCTCTGTTGAATGAACAGATCCTGTTTATTTCAGACGAAAAACACCAACAAAAGCACAAAGGTCGTTTCTCACGGTAGCCCTTTTTTTGCAGTGGGTGGGGTGTTGGTAACATGGCTAGGTGCTAGAGGTATTTGGATAATTTCTTCAAAACTCCATTTCACTTCGCATATATGGACTTGAAATGTTACCAGTGCTTGGTAAAAACAGGTAACTTCAGTAGTCCAGTTTAAAAGATTCCTTCAACGGTTACCGTATTTCAGAGATAACTAGTAGGCTCTTTAAACATTTTTCCATGGGATGTTAGTTTCAACTCTTAGTTTTTAAAACACCTAATAAAAACAAGTGGCACATCTGGCCTAGGAGAGAGAGAGAAAGGCTTGATGTATAGGCTTCAGTTCTAATTCCACCTCTGTTAGTGCTAGCTGTGGGACATTGGACAGGTGGTTTAACCTCTTTGAGCCCTTCGTGTTCTCATTTGTGAACACTAACGGTGTGCCCATCATACCTGTCTTCATAGATTAAATGAGATTACACATATACATAGTCCAGCGTAGTGAGTAGAAAAAAAAAATAATTGCTTAATAAATGGCAGCGATTATCATTATTATGAATTAGTAAAAATTGAACTTGTAAATGGCAAGATGTTTTGAACTTCATTTTAAACATTTTAGGTTGTATATTTATGAATTTTAGGTTCTTAGCGTACTGATTAAAATGCCTTCATATATCTGGATTTGAAGTTTACTACACAGCTTGCTTGCAGGTTAACCTTTCTGGTTCTCAGTGTTATCCTCTATGAACTGGGGAAAAATAGTATCTAGCTAAGCATTGTGCCTCATATATAATAAAAATTTAGAACTTTTAGCTGTTATTCATTCATTCATCCTAAAAAGTTAGTGTTTTGATATTTTTATGTTAATTACATACTAAATAGTTATTTTCTTAAAATAAGCTTGTAATTCTTTTTTCATTTCGCTTTGATTCTACATGTACTTTCATAATGTTAAGTAGGGTTAAAATTCACATTAGTGCAGCCTATTAAATGCATTTAACACTATTCATTTTTTTCTTCTTGGCATGTTTTTGCCCACCTCCTTGTGTGTCTTATGAAAACTAGGATTTGGATTTAAATAATGGGCATGAAATTCTGCCTCATTTCTTGGCCTCCTTGTTTCAACTTTGTTCAGAAACAAATTCAAAACTAAATTGGTGATCTTGGCGACAGAATAGATTTTGTAAGGATATCCTTTCTCCAATAGCGTATCTACTTTAGCAGCCACCATTTAATGAAGCGTTGTTGATCTCTCAGATGGGAGAGTGTGTTCATGTTTAGATAAAACTATCTCTTTTCCCCCTAGTTCTGTGATCAAGACACAATAGACGTAAGTTTTGTAATGATTCATTTAACTTTTTTCTCTATCGGTTCAGAAATAACAGGGCTTTGAAGTATTTAACAAAAGTTACAAGTTAACATCTTTGTTGTTCTTTGGCATTATTAAAATGTCTTTTCAAGGACAGGTTAAAAGATGAGATCATGTTCTTCTTTCTACTTTGCTTCAATCAGTAACCGGATTCTGTCAATTCTGTCTCAGAAATATCTGCCAGAAACATCCTCTCAACTCTGTCCTCATGGCTCTCAATTTAGGTCTTCACCATCTCTCACCAATGGATTGAATGTGATCCACTTAGTAAGCCAGGATTTGGGGAGTGTGTGAGTCCATTTGAGCTGCCATAACAAAATATACCACAGACTGGGTAGTTTATAAACAACAGAAACTTATTTCTGTCCGTTTTGGGTGCTGGCGGTCTAAGAACAAGGTACTAGCATGGTCATGTGGTGACAGCCTGCTTTTGTGGTTCACAGCCAGTGCTTTCTCACTTTGTCCACACACGGTGGAAAGGTTAGGGAGCTCTGTGGGGTCTCCTTCATGAGAGCATCAATCCCATTCATAAAGGCTCCACCTGATGACCTAAGTACCTCCCAAAAGCCCCACTTCATCCCAGGGGGTTGCGATTTCAACATATGCTTTCTGGGTGGGGGGGACGCAAGCATTCAGACCATAACAGGGAGCGTCTGCTCAAGGCGAGGGATGTAGTGATGTGCAAGGTCGATGCCATCACTGTTTTCATAGAACTTAAACTTTCTCTCCTGTTGCGTTAGTCTCTTCAGCCCTCACCTTGTCCCCCTTCCACACTATCTTCTACATCATCTCTAAAACGTATTCTTTTAGAAGTGTTCAATTCAAAGATTAAATTCTGAATTCTTTGCCATATATAAGGTCTTTATAATAGGATGCCTCTGGCATATCCCATGATGTTGAAATATCTTTCTCCAAACAGTCTTGGAAGACGTTATCTTTTAGGACTCAGTTGAGAAGTCACTTCCGTCGTTACTGTCCCCATCTTCCTTTGGCTGGGGTAGGTTGTTCTGTGAGCACCCATAGCATGCGTAGACCTTTCATACTGCAGTCCTAACACTGCATAGGCGTTTCACACGGCAGGATTCCGAGTATTAACTCTTCCCCCATTTGACCAGGAACAAATGAATGAAACCTGAAAAAAAAAAAATCACTTTGGGGAATTTACAGCTGTAACAGTATGTATTGACAAAGACCGTCTGTATGTACTTCAGTCTTTCATCACATATGTATTGTTAGCTCTGAATCTGAGACTCAGTGGGTACTAGATAGTAAGTAATCAGTAGATGTGTTCCCTGCCGTTATAATTACCACTTTGAGGATAAATTTTAAAACATCAGAACTGTACGGTTAATTATTTGGAGAACGCGGTCTTAGAAAGCCATGGGTATTAAAAAAAATTCTTTGTTTATTAAACTACAGGAAGTCATCTGGTTCTGACTCTTGGGAGTGTATGTGTAGTTCGCTAGGATGGTCTGGAACTTCTTCAGCCAGGTGCAAAGTCCAGTCAGCATAGTCTTGAGGAAAATAACATTGACTTTGAGGTGATTTCTGCATACTCCCTGGACAACTCGTGTAGTTTCTGGTGAGGAATCATGGGAAGGAACCAGTGGGAAATAAAGGTTTTTTTGTTCTGGTGGCCTTCCCTTTAAAAAAAAAAAATTGTTTCGACAAGTGTTAGTGGACATAAGACTTTATGTGGGTTTCATAGTAAATTTTATATTTTAAGAAAAGTATTCCTTTTTTTAACTCTTCTTTAATTAATCTTGAAAGCATTTCTTTACCTCATCGTGCTGAGTTCTGTGTCAAGAGCATAGAAAATGTTTTATGATAGGAAAGGAAGGATAACCTCTTTGCTCAACGGTTTTAGTTTCATATTGTGTAAATGTGTACGCAGGATGCAAAAGAGAGCGTGGTTAATCAAGCAAGAAAAAGAATTGATTTCCCAGATCATGAACATGCCTTGGCTTAGCAATGAAAGCAAAAAAATTTCTGAAATAGAGTCTACTTTGCATATAATATACCGTGAAGTCCGTAGTAGTTGAATAAAATATCTGTGCTTGAAGTTAAATTATGAAAGACCATGGATTTTTGCTTTACCCTCTTTTAGAGAATGTAGCACCCACTGTTGTCCAGAAATGGGTAGCAAGTCCTGGAAGCAAAAGTCATTTTCGTTCTTTACCTTTTGTGGGCTAAAAACCGCAAAGTTGAAATATAGCCTGCAAAATATACTGCAACTATATGTGAGAAGTCTGTGAGCAATGCTGGAACTTAATTGATATGCTGAGAAATATAGAAAACATACAGCCACCGGATTGAGAAAATGAAAATTAATATGTGAATGTTTTAGCTAACACCATACTTTGCCCCAGAACCTGGTGTTTATTATTGTGCACTGTGGTAGGGGACAGAAGTGATATCAATTGGAAAAACATTTCTCAGTGAATTGAGAACAGTATGGCTTTCTTGTTCCTAAGTGGGAAACCTGGTTCTTTGGTTTCTTTGTTCCTAGTTAAGCTAGTCCCAAGCCATTTTGACTGAACATTTTACATACTTACGGAGTCGAGGGAAGTGCCGTTGGCAGCTGATCATGGGATAATAATGAACTACACTATTTAGCCCCGCATGCTGCCCTTGTAAAATGTGGAGATTATTCTATGGAGATCTCGGTGGGCAGGGCTGTGTCCACTTTAACAAGTGTGCGAACCTGAGCGGGGAAGTTGTATTTTCACAGGAGAATAACTCGCGCTCTTTTCTTTTCTTACAGGTAAAGAAAACGTGCACAGAATCAGATGCTTCAGAACCTCAGAATTCCAGGTACTGTAAGATAGAAGTCAAGACTCCACTAAGGGAAATGGCAATTTTGGAGAACTAGTCAGATGTTATACTCCAGATGCAACTGTGATTTGAAGCATTGAGGTCCAAAGAACTTTTCTTTATGCAAGCTACATTTCATATTGGCAAGGGTACCATTAATCGTAACATGAATAAAAAGGATTCTGATTGAAGTCACCTTTAAAGAACAATAGTAGAGACGGCTCTAGAAACACTGGAAAACACCGTCCCTTCACATTCATTATTTGAGTTCAGCTTCCTTTTTCTTTCTTATCTTTTCTTATAATGTATTTTCACATCTGAAATTCTTCCAGAGATTCCACAGCTTTAAAAAAAATCTGTGTTTACCAGTAGAACTACAATATTTTTTTTTCAATAAAACGCTGCTAGATTTTGAGAATGCTCTCAAATTGGAAAAATCAAAATCGACTTGGCATTCTCTTTTTGGTCATTTGGAGCCTGTAGAAATGATGCAACAAAGTGCTCAGACCATTGCCTACAGGAATTTAGCACCGTGTAATTGTCTGTGTGTTTGGTCCAGATACCCAACAGATGTTTTCAGGCCTACATGTGTTCACTTCAAATCCAGGCTTGAATGTTAAATGGAGAAAGAAAAGTATTGTAGGTACCAGTACAATAATAAACATATCCAGAATACGATATTGATGATACAAACTAGCTTATTGCGTCAAGAAATTTGTATTTAATGGTGAGACGGGTCTCATTTATTTTGTCCTACTTGCTTCAATGCATGATGTAAGTAGTGATTTTATTGCTCTAATACAGTAGGTAAAAAGTTAACGGCCACCGTATATTCTTTTTGGAGAACCAGTATATATTATGTACAGTACCTTTTCAGTTTGAGTAACACTAGCTCTGTTTTATGCAGTGTGATATTCCTATAATTAATTCCTAGACCTATTATATTAAAATGGTTATAAACGGTCTTTTCTTCTGGACCACCAAGAGTACATAACAGGATAGAGGACTTTTTGACATGTGTTCTTTGGCATTTTGACCTTTGTCCTTTATAATTAGGGATCAAAATATAACCAAAGAGTTTTTACCTTGTTGGAGCCTGAAGAAATGGATGAACCATTCCAGTTTTTCCTACAGAGCAGAGTAATTCCAGGGCTCATGGAGAGAGAGAAAGGCCCAAACTCAACTTTGTGAGCATTTCCTTTCTAGTCATTTTGCTGACCTTCCTGAGTGACCTACCTAGGGCTTGTTATTTAAGTAATTAGATAATTTTTGCAAAGCTGATCTTAAGGCTTAGTAGGAAAAAAACAGCAATATCATCATCCTTCTTAATATCTCATATGAAAATGTTTTACCGATAAGTCCACTCAGGATTTTTGGACCTCGTGTTATGCTAAGATAAGTTTTAAATAAGCAGAAAGCCACCAAACTAATTTTCTTCACAATTGTTTTCAGTAACAGAGGAAAATCAGAATTTGTAGCTCAGTGTATTTAAACCAGAATTAGATCATTCTTTTTTTTTTTTTTTTTTTTTTTTTATCTGTCAAATCCTGGCTTATAAGGCCTTAAAAGTACAATATTGTTTTTAAGGTAAATAAGGGTTATTTTTAAAACACTATTTACATATATTATTTTATAATTATTATATTAGCATATAAAATATAATGTATAATGTATATTAATTGAAAGCTATCTGTACTTCCTGGAAACAAGGAAGTGGTTGCCACAAATTAGCTGCTTCTAAAAAGTTTCCCGATTTGTAATATAAATAGGTAAAATTAGGCAAATCAGTATCTAATGACTCGAAAGCTTTTAACATGAAAATCAAACAAGCAGTCCTTACTTACTAAAATACCTTCAAGATGACTGAGGATCATTTACTGGTTCAAGGTTGCCTACACATTTTGATCTTGACTGGTCTCCTCTCCTAACTTCTGGTGCAGGAGACAATTTCCACACCCTAGAAACGTCCGTAACATACAGACATGACTATTCTTGAATTCTGTATTTGTTCATGGGTATGAGGTATTGGAGTACCAAAACTGGCACTTAGTTAATGCAGTGATGGAACACCAAGAGAATAAAAATATGCAAAATATCATTCTGCACAGGCTACAGTAACTTACCGAATAGTCAACAAATCCAAGAATGCCAAAAATAGTATTTATTATATACATGTACTGAAGTTCACTTTTTATCACCTATTAAAACCCACACACACACATACCAAAATGTCTTTATTACAGACACTAGGCAGCGTTGCTTTAGCAATATACATATATGGCACATTCTTTTGTGCTTATTAGGAACCACAAACCTTTCTGTATTCTCTTTCTGTCTCTCCCTCTCCTGTGTGTATGTGTGAGAGAGAGAAAGAGACAGAGAAACAGAGACCAAGAGAAAGGAGAGAGAGAGATTGATACAGATTGAGATTTAAAGCCTGGGGCTAGATAATTCTACTGTAAACAAATCTAAAGAAAAGAACTGAGCTCCAAATGAAATACTGCATCAGCATAAAATGCATGCAAGCTGGAGACCCGCTGCCTTATAAAGTGCTGCCTCACTTGGAACGTAAAGCTAATATAATTCATTTATTTAGCTAGCTTTATAGTGTGTTGGTTTTGGATATGAAAAGATTAGAATAAATGTAGATGGAAAGTGTTTTTACAGTAGGGAAGTAATTAAATTGGGTGTGGAGACTTTGTAAGGAAAATTCTTAGGGTGACATATGTATATCAGCAAATTCTTTGTCTTGCTTGGCCTTAATTCCTCTTTTGGAAAGAAATGTTTGGGCCGCAGATATGACTGGTAGATGGGGAAAAAGAGACTTTACCAACCTATGTAAGTAAGGTAAAAACATCTTAGAAATAACATTATATGTATATATTAAAAGTCAGGTATTAGGGACTGCATTTTCTAAGGTTCATAAAGCGATATTGAATTTGATGTCGTATGGAAAGTCATATGATGTGCTTCATAGAAAAATGGACATTTCTTTTTTTTTTTTTTTTTTTTTTTTTTTTTTCTTTTTTTTTTATAATAAAATAATATAAAAATTGGTTTTTTTGCAAAAAAAAAATTTTAAAAAAAAAAAT